GCCTGTCACAACCTATTTCTGGCCCAACCTCCAGTTCCCCACCCTTCACTGTGCCCTCCCGGAGAGCAAGTGTACGCACCCCCTCAGAATCGCCTCGTGCCCACAAGGCGCGGCACCCCGCCGGCGGGCTGAGCTCCGCACAGGAAAGCCGTGTGCAGGTAAGCCTGCACTCCGGGGAGCTCCCGCCTGGTGGGGACAGGCAGCATCCATGTGATGTCCCGCAGAGCAGCGCGAGCACTGGACTGCCCTGATGTGATGGACACAAATGTTGCCAGAATTGATGGACCCGAACCTGATCATGAGGAAACGCCCAAAAGGTAGGGCTTTAAAAAAAACGGATGTCATGGGGAAGAAAGATTAACTATTAGAAAAGGAGACCAGAGGCATCAACTTCAGGAGAGTGTGAGGCTGGATGGGAGGGGAACACAGGACACTGGACAAATGGGCTATGTGCCAGGGACACAACGTCACATTCGTCAGGAATAACGACAGTGCTGTGACAGTAAGACTGACCTATTCTCATGAGGTACATACTGGGTACTTAGGGGTGTAGCATCAGGACTGCAGCTGACTTTCACATGGTTCAGAAGGAAGAGAAACAGCAAAACGTTAACCAGCAGCTTGGTGACCGCTATGTCTGTATATGCTATGCGTGTTCACTGTGCTACTCTTTCAAGTTGTTTGAAATCTGTCAATAAGGGAGGAAATTCATGATACACGTAACAAAATGAACACAAACACCATACAAGTGGTTATCCAACAATTTGAGACTGATTAAATAGGAGGTTTTATGCAATCACGTGAAAGACTGCATTCAGTGCAGACAGATTATAACCAACATGACCCCGTTTCTATAAAACACACATTAATGAATATGACAGTGGGAATAGGGCTTATTTCTGTTCAGCAGTATAAATACCCTGTACTGTGTGACAGATGACACAGAAGGAGTATCTGAACGTATGTGGGGACAGGCAGGCAGTGCGGGGCTGGCGGGGAAAGGTGTTTGAGGCAGTGAAGCCCAGGCAGAACGTCAAGGCTCAGCCGGCAGCCACGCGGAGGCAGCGGTGGCGCGTGCAGAAGGCTGGCGCGCCGACGGTGAACTCGTGGTACGCCCGCCCGTGGTTAACCAAGGAGCCTTACAAGCCAGTGGAGGAAAGTGCGGCAGCGGGAGCAGCAGGGTATCCTGCAGGGGACACAGCCAGATGGTATCTGAGCTCCTTTACTGGTGGCTGTGCAAAAGGTGGCCTAAAGGGAAGAGCCCCGTGGTTCTTGGAAAAGCCCATGTGAAAAATGCAGAAGGAATGGCTGGTAAGACACTCTAGGAATAAAAATAGCAAAACCTGGTCAGATGAAGGAAAGGCAAGGAGTCTAGGATATCTCCAAAGTTTATGGCTTAGGCTGCTGGTAATGAGTTGTCTGAAATGGACTAGAAGAGAGCATCAGACTGAAAAGTGGACAGAATTTCAGGCTGGGACAGAGATTTGTTTGAGACACCCAGCAGGAAAGGCCTGGGCCGGAGCCAGGGCCTAGTGAGTGCAAGGTGCGTGCGCTCCCCTCTGAGAAGGCATCTAAGTGGAAAGACACCTGTGCTCCTGGCGGGACCCAATGCCCTACGCCTAAAGTGAGCTCTCCTGCCCAAAGCAATGAGCCACAGCTGAAGTTGAGAAGCTAGAACTGAATGAGCTTTGCCTATCACTTAAAATTTCTTTATCAAGTATGTGTATTATTGTCTTCATTTTTTTTAATGGTGGCCAATTAGCCCTGGCTGGTTTGGCTCAGTAGTTCAAGTGTCAGCTCACAGGCCAAAGGGTCTCAGGTTCAATTCCTGGTCAAGGGCACGTACCTGGGTTGCAGGTTTGATCCCTGGCCCCCGGGGGGGGGGGGGGGTCATGCAGGAGGCAACTAATCAATGTGTCTCTCTCACATCGATGATTCTCTCTCTCCCCCTTCCATTCTACTTAGAAAGCAATAGAAAAATATCCTTGGGTGAGAACTAACTAAATAAATAAATAAAAGGTAGCCAATTAATTAACAAATGTTCAAAATTTAAAGCAACTCACAAACAGAAGACATACAGCTAAACCAGGGAAAGAAAAAAAACATAGCGCGTTCTTTCCTGAGTTCTCAACAAGGCAAGTATTGAAGAGCAGAGGTTGGCATGAGGCCAATCTGAGTTCTGAATCGTAGCCTACATGACAGGCATGACCTTGGCTACATCACTTAACTTCCCTGAGCCTAAGTTTCCTCTAATGGATAAAGTGGGGGTGACAGGAGGGATGTGGAGTGCTGACAAGATCATGCACACATCTGACACAGAGCCTGGGACACAGTAGGACTTGGTGAAGGAGCTCAAGTTACAGGACTTGAAAGCGTGTTTGGAGCAAGTCCCTCGTGGACAGAGCATCGGGAGGTGCCCGTGCCTTACCCAAGTAGCATGGACCTGACCGCGACTAAGTGCTAGAGGACAAGCCCTCTGGGCGGTCTGCCAGAGCTGCTGCGAAGCCCCAGACTCATGAAGTATGAAGTCAAACACGACTAACAATGTTTGTTTTTGTGGAGGGCAGGGGTCACAAACCACTAAGAGCCCCTATCTGGTACGTTTACGAGAAATCTTGAAAAGTTCTCTCGCTTGGGGCTGCCGGTCCAGTGGAAGCCAGGTCGTCAGAGGACAAAGCAGAGCCAGCAGCCAGAGCCTGAAGCCCCGACGGGCTCCTGCACTGGGCGTGCTCCGACACTGCATTTCCAGCGAGCTGAGCCTCACTGCTCTGCCAAGTCCTGTGAATTAGGTCTGTCACCAAGAACCAGGTGTCCTGAGTCACAGACCCCTGGAGTCTGTAAGTCAGACTGAGATGAGGGAGGGAGCCAGTGATCAGTGGACGAGAGGACTCTGCCCTCTGGGGGTGTCGGTTCCCTGACTGGAGCTCCTCTAGAACCCACACCCCCAGTGTTTGCCACAGCGGCGGCCCCGGTCTGCATTCCCACCAGCAGTGCACTAGACATGAACTTTCTGTAGTGAGGTGATGGTGGTGTGCTGAGGTCTCAGTGTCCTTAGAAGACACGTGCAAGAACACACACAGGTGGGCATCACGACAGCTGCAGGTCTGTCAAATCTTCCAGCAAAATAAAGGGGGTGTGTGTGTCTGAAGAAGAGAAAATTATTGCTTAATGTTTTAACAACTGGTGAACCAAGGTGAAAAATATTAAGGTGGTGAACATAGCATATTTCAACTCTGTCAATTTGAAAATTTCCAAACCAAAAAAGGAAAACAGCAAAGGACTGAAAGTAGATAAGGGTCCCCGGCCGGCGTGGCTCTGCGGTTCCATCATCGGCCCGCGGACCCAAGGGTTGAGGGTTTGCTTTCCAGTCAAGGGCACATACCTGGGTTGCAAGTTTGATCCCCGGCCCTGGTCAGGGTTGTATAGGAGGCAACCAATCGGTGTGTCTCAGTCACACTGATGTTTTTCTCTCCTTCCCTCCCTCCCATTCTATCTAAAAACCAATGGAAAAATATCATCGGGTGAGGATTAACAACAACAAAAAAAAGATAAAGGGGAGAGGGGTAAAAATAGAGCAAGAAACTTGGAAATCAGGAGTTATAAAATGGGGTGAATGGTAGGAAGAACTGTAACAGGAGGGTGAGACAGGCTAACAAGGCCTCGGAATAAAGATAACTAGGGGAGGCAGAGGTCAATCCCAGCTGAGCACAGCCACGTATTGCTGGCTAGGGGTCTTGGGGAGAAGCACCCCACTTCCATGTGGAGAGGCTAAACAGACTGCCTCTTGGGCAAGAGGAGGAAGTCACTGCTTCGTCCTACTGGCTGTCTGGCTTGCGGGGTCCCCATTGCAGAAAGGGTTGTTACCTACAGTTGTGAAAATGCAGACACCCCCTAGAGGTATGGTACAATATGCAGACTGCTGTTTACGTCCCTCTCCCCAGTCATCTGAAGGAACCATTCAGAACTGGAATGAAACCTGGATGTGTCCTCTGCAGAGAGCATTCTCAAGGCGGCATCAGCCAATGTGTGGCGAGGGAAAGGGCCACCGACCTCTCCCAAAAGTCAGACCCTTCAGATCTAACCACACTGCTTCCTGATTATGAGGTGCTGGAATAATGGGAAAGAGCTAGGAAGGGGCCGTAGGACCTGAACCTTCAGGAACATTTATGAAGCAGGGAGGACGAGAGGGTCCGGGGGAAATGGTGCTGGGTTAAAACCAGTTCTGACAAACTGCAATCACTGTTCATGCCAAGGATTCTGCTTCTGTTCCGTTTCTGGTAACAGATCGCCTCCCTCCCTCCTGGGTCTCTGCGGCTGTGGCAGCACTGGCCTCCTCTCAGCGTCACCAAGCATGTCCTCCCGGCTACATGCCTGGGCGAAGTCACACAAGGCACAAGTCAGAAGGTGTGGGGACAGGGAGGTGCTATCCCCTCCAACACCGGGAGGCAGAGAGGGTGGAGGAGGGTGGTCCTAACAGCAGCATGGCCTTGGCAGTGACTTGGACTAATACAGAAGTAACAAATCCAATCCCTGTATCAGGTTCGCAGGACACACTCAAATGCAAACAAAGACAGGAAAATGGTGACCACAGCTGGCAAAAGAATGGCTCCAGGCCCAGCTCCAAATATTGGTCAATCCCCAGTGTGGATTAGGCGCATGAAGAACTGGAAGGAATAAGGAGACGCAATTAATTATCAAACTTTAATTGATAGGCTAATCTTACAGGATAAACAATAAGACAGCTAGTTAAGGTTACACGTTAAAAAAATCCAGCAGCTCAAATCTAACAGACTAAATACGTTTATTTCCTCCCAAACAGGCATTGATTGAAAAAAAAACAAAAAACCAGACCAGAGTGCACACCACAAGGAAACATGGTACTTACGTATATTTTTAATTCACCCTGAAGGGCTCTTCAGGGAAACAGAAAGAAGGCGGGGGGGGGGGGGGGGGGGGGGAGCACTCAGCTGGGCAGCTACACGGACCAGACGTCCTGCACTCCAGAGGGCTCCTGGCCACCTGTAACTTCAGAGAGGCCACCAGGCCCTACTAAGAAGAAAATAGGCGCCAATGCTAACTAGAGATAACATTGTCACAAAGCCTTAAAACAAAGGGACCATCCTTTCCCAAGACAACAGACAGAACAGAAGCAAGGAGCAAGGGAGAGGGCTCCTCAGAAGATGGGCTGGAAAGGCCGGCCCTCGCATGGCCCGTGGCACAGGGTCGACCCCTGCCCTCCCTGCCCCTGGCACAGAAAGAGTGAGCCCAAAACAAGAGCCCGGGACAGCTCTTCCAGGCACATGGTTAAGTAAGAGGAGGGAAAGCCAGCCCCTTCTGGCTGAAATATGACACATTTTCAGAGCCGTGGCAACGTGGCAGTTCGTCCCTCTGGCCCTTAGAAAGTAAAGCAGCAACTAAGACGACTCCTGAGCCCATGAGTGATCAGAAAGGACACCTCAGCTCAGTTCAGCCTCACAAGAAGAGCTAATACTACTTGCAGAAGGCCCATCAGCAATTAAAATACTTAACACCAAAGAGTTCAGAAACTCTAAAGTCTCAGTTCTGTGAACAGGCTGACTGTGCACCGAGCCCTCCTCAGCGGGGATCATTTGTCATCACTGTCAAGTGGCCGCAGGAAGGGAAGGAAGGCAGGCAAGGCCCTGTGAGCAGACTGCGGGAGGCTCAGGGAAGGCAGGACTTGAGGCCAGGCCCGCCTGCTCCTGCATGGTGCAGCCCCGGTCCACTCACATGCCCTGTGCCATCGTGAGGGACAGGCACACCCCAGAGAAAGAGCTGGTCCCCTCAGACAGTGAAGGAACTGCACAGAAAGTCATCCTGATGACAGCAACACTGCGATGTACCTACAGAGAGAGGCGCTCAGCTTGCTGACACAGACTGTCTCGGTACACTCTGGACTGTAAGACAAAAAATGAAGACTGCTCACGGACTCAGTGACAAGACAGTGAATACTGCTGGGACACAGACTCAGATCTAAATCAAACATCTCTTCCAGGGGCTCCTGGTACACCCACCTCTGCTCTCTGAGGGCTTCCAGCAAGATCTCCATGATTGTTCTAGCAGATTCAGTGAGCCCCATCACACAGCTCCATATGAAAAGATGTCATTTACGTTATTATTTATATATAGTATCTCGAAGTAAGGAAAAAAGCACCATTTTACTTAAAATAAAAAGGCTCACCCAGGCTTTGGTCCTATGTTGAAACGACACCAGCCTGCGTGAGAAGCAGTTTGGCTCTTTGGGAGCAGGGGGACGATGGGACACACGCTCTCACCGGGGGAAGGGGCGTCAGATGGCACGGCGGCCAAACAGGGCGAATGCGGAGAGCTGGCGGGAAGGGCTCCGAGAGCAGCAGTGCGAGGCCAGCCTGGGGACGAAGACACCTGCCTCCAGAGAACACCAGGTGTGTGACACTGTCGGGACACGTCTCCAGGACGGGGCTGCTGCAGAGAAGCACTTTCTGCAGGGGCCACAGGCAGTCACTGCTCCTCCTTCAAGGGGCGCAATGGGCAACCTCGTGGATGCCACACTTACTTCACAGGTGTACCTATGCCCCCCAAAACAAGAGCAGCTCTTCCTGCCCAGATGCATAACTGCACCATGAGAAGCACGAGTCTGTCTGGACCAGCTGGGTTCCTGAACTACATTTTGGAGGGAAGGGTGCAGATCGTCATTAACTGGCTCACACAAGCTAATACATTTCACAGAAGCAGGAGCAGCCTGGAACCCAGATGCCAAGTTTGGAAACGCTCTGTCCAAGCCTTGCTACGAGAGCCTGCAGCCAGCGGGAGGAGGACTGCAGGGACGGCAGCAGAGAAACAGCACACAGCACACGAGGCCACTCACCAAGACTCTCCCTCACTTCAGAGCCAACCAAGCCACAAGGGGACAACAAGGTTCACGTGTACAGAGAACGTAAGGGCTAAAACCAGAAGAGAGTGAGCTAACCACAAAAGCAAGTTATCCCATTTTTGATGTTACAACACATCACCAACCCACAAGGTCAGACGTCTTCTTACTGAGAACGGCAGCATCGCTGAACCAGGGATGAAGAACACTTGAACACAACACATGAGCAGAAGGAACAAATAGAGAACCATAACTGAAATAACCATTGGACTGCTTAAGAATTTCTTGAAATTTCCAAAGTGGGCCTGTGGCTACATGGCTGTATAAACTGTCCTCCATCTGGCGCCCCCTCAGAGAGGCCCTGCCAGCCAGGGATCCATGACTTCTGGAGCAGCACAGCCAGGCACATCCATGCCAGGCTGGGCGTCAAAACCAACTCAGAGAGGGCTGCAGACAACCGTCAATGTGCAGTAGGCCGCCCCAGAGATCGGCGCCCAGAGGGCAAGACACGTGGACAAGAGTCACTGTGAGACACTCCGCTGCTCAGACACCACAGCACGCGTGAGAGCGCCCTGACCAAGACACAGCGCATCCCTCCCATGCGCCTTGGCGAGCAGCAGCACGGCCGGAGGAAGGCCAGGGAAGGAAGCAGTGATGAGGTACAAAAGGAGGAACTGACATCTTTGGGTTTTCAAAACAAAAACTCAAATCTAGGAAGTGAGAAAATAAAAAAAAGGAAAGAAGTAAATCTGAATTAATGGACAGAAAAATATGGCTTACCAACCCTCCCACTTTGCATAAAATTTTATATGAAAAAGAAAGAAAAAACACCCCCAACTCATCATAACACAGTCCGAATGTTTGCAACCAAAGATTTATGAAAGTATTTCAGTTGAAATCACTTTTTAAAAAAGCAGAAAGCTTTTCACCATTCCTTTCTAAACACAACCTTGGCAGACCTACTCTCGAACACATGTAAGAGTATTCCACACAACACGTTCGGAATTCAAATTTATTGATTTCCACTGCACTGACTTGAAAATGGTACGAAGCTGACTGCAAGAACGGGAACCGGTGATTTTAAGTTAAAATTAAGCTAAGGGTGAAAGAACATCACCTCTGGCTTCAGTCACCACATCACCTTAGACTGGATATAACTGTTTGTGAACAAAGTTCCAGAACTCTGAAATCCAGGGATGCTGCAGGCCTCTCCCAGCAATGTCCTTCACTTTGGGTCAGTCTCCTGGGCCAGAGGTGAAAGTGCTTTCAAAAATACTGCCACTTCCCCAGCACAGTGTCTTTGATTGCATCCACATATTGAGTTGGAACCCAGTACACCCAGTAGTAAGAGGCTTCCGTGGGGCCCAACTGAAATGCCTGGAAGGGAAAAGGAAAACCAAGCGACACTTCAGAGGTCGGAGACTGAGCGGCAGCACAACACACACAGGGGAGGGCTAAAAAGTGACTTAACCAAAAGGGAAGGAAAAAAATCATGTGAGGAGCATTCTCTTGTCCAAAAAAAAAAAAGACAGCAGCAGGAGGGAGCTAAGCATAGCCACCCTAAAGCGGTGGTCCCCAAACTCAGGTGCACATCAGAGCTATCTGGAGGGCTTGTCACAACAAAGTGGTGGCTCCCCCATTAGTCTGGGACTTGGAGGGCTAGTAGGGGCCTAAGTATCTATCATTCCTAGGAGTTCCCAGCCGATGTGACACTGCTGGTCTGGAGACCCACTGGGGAAGCCCGGCCCGAGAAAACTGCCCACGTGCACAAGGGAAATGAACGCTCAGAGCAGCGCTACAGCGATGGTGAGCGCCTGGCAACACCTACTGGCCACCAGTGAGGGAACGCAACCCTAGAAGTGATGTGTCCTGTGCACATGGGTATTGGCTCACTCTTAAAAGGTATGAGCTGGATCCACGGTAAATACAGACAGAGCATAATGTCGACCAAAAAAAGCAAGCTGCAGAACAATACATACCATGATGCCACTTATGAAAACAGCACTGGAGCTTGTTCATGGACGTGTACGAAAATAAAAGCAGAGCGGGGAAGACCCACGTGATAGATCATGGTAAGGGCAGTGGGGGAGGGGAAGATAGCGGGAACGAATTCACTGCTGGTTAATCTTCTTTTATTAAAAACTGATTCAAAGTAAGTTACAAAGTATTTATAATTGTCTCTTCTTGGTGGGTTTGTTATAGTAGTTTCTGTCCTTTCCTGTATTTTTTAAGATTTTTCTAAAACTCACAAAGTACAGCCACCCCCTGCTAATGTGAGCTCTGACATGTTCATCTAGCTAGTGAAATGGCATCTGCAAAGAGGGAAATAAATACTTTCGTTAGGACAAAAGTAAAGGTGATTAACGGTGTTCAGAGAGGGCGATCAGAGCTTTAAAAAAATCCTACTTTTAAAACAAAAAAAATAACTGAGCAAATAACCCACATGCAGTCCTTTAAAGACCCCAGAGAGACTGGGCGGGGGGCTGCCACAGGGCTGTGATGTCACCCCCACTCTCAGAGGGTCACCCCACTCTCAGGGTCACCTAGGAGCTCTGCAGCCGGGCTGCTGGCCCAGCCACTGACAGATACCGACAGGGCAGGAAAGGGGACAGGGCTAACAGACGTTTCCTGGAGCCCGGGGAGCTGCCATCTGTCTACAGAGCACTGCCAAGATGCTAGGTCCTCTTTTTCTGGGGTCTCTGAACATCTCCCTCTGCTGTGGACTTTGTAACACTACCCACGGGCCAGAGCACTACTGCCCCTTCTCCCTGGGACAGGGCCAACATAAATACATTCCTGTTGGTTGGACACAAAAATCTGCCTCTTCAGAGAATGGCAGGTGGCTGCCCCCACCCTGTCCTGTCACTGCTCGGGTCAGGTCCCTGTCATAGCAATTTTAAAGTCTGAGGAGCTAACCTCATTCAGAATGGCCCCTCCAGACAATGACAGGGAAGTAGAAGGGGTGTGCCTAGCTGCTCAGTTTGTCAATGAACTCTTGCTTTGCTCTGCACTGACTCGGGCCACGTCTGCACACTGTCTCAGGAAGCGCGGCCTGCCTGTCTGAGCAAATCTCCCTGGGAACAGACGTCCACAGGCCTGTCCTCCCCATGGGACCCTTGGCCACTAGACAGCTGCAGCCTGGGAAGGGCAACACCATCCCAGAGGGGAAGGCCTAGGGGCCCAAATGCCAAGAGTAGTGGGAGGTTTTATTTTATGTGCAAGGAAAAAGTTAAATGAAAACCCACAAGACAGTCCTCCTTGTTACATTTATTTTTCTGGTCTAAAAACAAAATATCATAAATAAAAGGGAAACAAAGAGATTCAACATATCCCTTTCAAACTGCTGGAAGATGCAGGGAGGGGCTGCAAAATAAAGAGAACTTGGACCAAGTCATGGACTAAGTTCTAAGATGAAGACACGAGGGCCTTAGCTCATGCATCTCTTGAATGCCGAGTTTTCTCCTCAGCTAACATCAGTCCCTGTTAGAGGAGCAGAAGTGGGAACCTAGAGAGAGGCCACAGGATGGCAGCTACTTACCATCATGTGGTAGTCCTCATGTCCTTCAATGGGTTCACTGACCACATTTTTAATGGAGCCCATGGGTAACTTCTCAGTCCGCTCTAAGTTGAAAGGAACGACAGCCATTATTCAAAGGCCCTCCTGTTCTACTCCTGCAACTCAGCAGTCCCTCGTCAAGGCAGGTGGCTTTTGCAATCTCCTGTAAACTCTGGGGATAATAGGACAGGACCTTCTAACAGTGACCCTAGAGCCCTACGTGGGAGCTGGGAACTTCTTAGGAGTAAATGGGGACCATGATGTGGCAATGGTATAGTAAAGGTCTCTGAGAACAGAACTGTCTCTTTCCTGGTATTATTTTTAAAGTCTAACAACTAATAAATACAAAAGAAATTCCACTGCACCCTGAATGCCCAAGGCCAGCACCAGCTAAGACCTTCGGTGCCTGAGACAGTCAACAGGACCAAGAAGAGAGGCACCAGCATGCCTGTGGGCTCCCACAGAACGGGGCTGTTGGCAGCATATGACCGTCTCTGTCCCAAGACCCTGCTCAAGCCCCCACCATTCCTTTCCTGCCCCTTACCCTTCCATATGTGTGAAAGTTCTCTTAAAATACTTAAAACCTCTTATGCTTAACACTCAAGATACCACTAAGCACACAGGGTCCAGAAGACGTTTTGCAGAAGTTTAAGGGTGGCGGGTGTGGGAGAGACAGAAGCGAGGGAGGTCTGGAGGAGGAGCCTGCTGGAGGTGAGCAGGTGCGGCAGGGCAGGGGTGGTGGCAGGAGGGGGAGCGCCTGCCTGCCAACAGGAAACCACCCCTGAAGCAGAAACACCTCAGGGACGGGAGAAGCTCTCAGCAAACTGTTAAACGAAGTTTGAAAAACCACTAAAGACTTTTTAGAGAGAAAAATCCGGAAAAGGCAGAATCTGAAAACAGATAACCTGACCAAAAAACAGCAGAATTCCGAGGCTGGGGTTCTAGTCTAAGTGATGAATCGAGACATTTCATTTCGGTCCTGTGGGCCTTGGTCTCTGAAAAACGGGGGTGGGAGGAACGGACCTAAGACGCTCACGCAGATTCTGACTTTCAGTGGCTCTAAGACAGGCAGGACCTGACCAGCTGGGTCCTTAACGTGAAAACTTCTCAAAACACCAACCACCTTTTTTCACATTTTATGTGAAATGTCCAGAGATTTTCACATAAAAATATGGCTGTCTGGCTTCTTTTGAAAATGCAAAAGATAAACAATCCTGAGCCCGACTCCCGAGTCACAATCAGGTGCCACTTCCCACCAGCAGGGCCCAGGCCCCCGGCAGCTTCACGCGCTCACCATTCACGCGTCCTGCCTGGAGCTTGCTCTTCCCGCTCCCACCGGGCCTGAGGCGGCGAGTCCTGCCTCCCACACAAGCCACTAGAATTACACCATAAACAGGAGCCCGTGAATGTAAAAAACCTCTCCGAGAAAAGAGGCCGACTAATGAGCTGCTGGAACGGCTGTTCTACAACAGTGTCTTGCCAGCAGAAAAACGCCAATGGCTGGGAGCCCACTCCCCGATCAAGCTGTCCTAAGAGTGACAGGACACTCAGGTGACAGTGTCAGGGGCAGGTGAGAAGAGGGCCCGAGGTGCACTGAGGCAGGGCTCCAGGTGAGAATGAAAATCTCAGCCCTGGCAGACCCCTGAAGACACGAGTTCACGGCCACATGCGTCAGCAAGGCTGGCGGCCAGGAGGGCTCTCACAGCGCTGACGTGCCAACACACCGAGGTTCTTCTAGAGCTCTCCTTCCTGCCAAAGCAGGGGATGGCTGCTCCCACGAGCGGAAGTAGAGCCCCCAACACAGGCACAGCAGGTTCTCATTAGTCCGTGCCGTGAGGACACTTTCCTACACACGTTCCTAACACGGAAGCATGCCAAGGAGCCCTTACAGACTGAGCTGGCATCGGGCTGCCAAGCTGCACCTACCAGCGGGGCCATCGGTGTCTTTCTGGGTCAACCTCAGCCACCGCCCTCCACAGGCTGCTGAAGTGGAAGAGGCAGGGCCTTAGTGAGTCAGTGCCATGATGGAGGACTATACCAACCCCCCCCCCAAGGCATGGAGAGTGAGGGGCTGACGAGCAGGGAGCTCACAACTGAAGAAACGGGGTGGCGAGACCAGCTCTGCAGAAGACGGTGACCTACTAAAGGGATTCAAGGCCCTTGAAGAATAGGGGAGCCCTTAAATAGGTTGTAAAACTTGCTCTGATCATGCAGTTAGAATCAAATGTGAAAGAAAGAACATAGGTTATCACACAATTGTTAGAAATGCAAGCGTTTTTGGCATTTCATTCTTTGTTCACTTTAAGAACCAGGATGGGGTGAAAACAAGAAAACTTACTTTCATATTTTAGATGATAAAAATCTCACTCCCCATCATCCCAGCCCTGATTATTTTCCATAAAACTTTGGTCCCATCTGAAACAGAGTCATACTAATGGCCTGTCCCTGAAACCAGTAAGTCTCAGAGGATGGGATCCCCTGTGCTTCTCTTTAGCGTTTACCTCGAACACTGAACACCTACAGTGCTGGCAGAAACAGGTGAGTTAGGCATGTTCGGTCCCCTCCGGAATCTAACAGGGGACAGACAAGTCAGAGAGTAATGAGTGCTCTGGGGACATAAATGAAGTGCTCTATGAACAGAAGCAGCGGGGTGGGGATGTATCAGGGAGGCTTCGTTAGGAGGACATTTAAGTAGGGCCTTGGGAGACTTCATTAGTAACAGGAAGGGGAAGGCGGCTCGCAGGTGAAGGCACAGTGCGAGCAAAGGCAGAGCTGCGCCAAGCACACAGGGAAGGTCGGCGAGTGGTGCGGCTGCACACCCAGGGTACGACAGGCAAGCGGGGCAGGAAGCTAGCTCAAATTTTAAACTGGGTCCTATCACTGAGGACACTGGACACTATGGCTGAGCATTTGAACTTAGCCTTAAAGAGCCAAAGGTTTATGAGCACAAAAACCAGTGAGAAATAAATAGTATAGGAGATGAACGGGACAGAAGAGATCAGAGGTGGGGCAGGGAAATAGGTTAACTTCTTTCACGGACCAAGTTCAGAGATGCTAGAAGTCTTAAGCAACACAGTGGAGGGGTAAAGAAAAGACACTGATAATTCTGGAGTGTAACTGACAAGACTTTGATCCATGTGGGGAAGAAAGAGGAAGCACAGTCAGAGACACTTCCCAGCAAACAGCAAGCCAGACCCACCATGCACAGGGGGGTCGGTGGGAGCAGGCAGCGGGCAACCAGGCAGGGGAGGGCAGGTCCCCAATACTAGGAAAACTCCCATCTACAGGGGCCAGGCGGGTGACATAAATGAAGGATGCTGGCCGCATTCAAGTTAAATGGGACAGTGAGAACTGTAGCCAGGCCCATGTGAAACTACTACTCAGCTCCAGCTGCTGGTTACCCTGTGAGAATGCAGGTTCAGCCGGACTAGACCTTTTGATTTTTTTCAAGAGAAGCCAAAAAATCATTATCAAGTGAAATGTCGTTTTTTATGTCGAGTGTAAAAGATGAAACTCCAGTCTGTGGACCAGAACTGGCTCTCAGCCACACATCTGGGACCTCTGGACAGCCAATGTTGGATGGACTGGTTCTGTGATCAGACTGAAAAGACTGAGGGAAAAGGGTCCAACAGAAGGTGAGCATCTAAAAGCAAATCCAAGCCAGGAGCACACAAAGCACAGTGCAGAGATTGGGGGAGAAGTACACTCACTCGGGAGAAAGCACTGCTGGGCGCCAGAGGCGGCAAGCCAGGGAGAGGTGCAGCAGTCACATACCTTTAGTGCCGATCCACAGCTGGTCTTGCTCTAGCTTAAAGGTGAGTCTCACTTTTCCTCCAGACTTATTGTACATGCCAGACAAGGGGACCGTGGGCAGTCGCTCCTGGAGGCACGAGAGCATGGTAAGAGAGGGAGGCACCAGACACAAGTAGGACAAAAACAGGAGAAGAGCAGGATGTGAAGATGGGAGCGCAGGAAGCTCAAGAAGTCAGGTGGGCCTGGTTTTGAGAGCGCTCACAAAGGAGTGTGGCTTACCTGGGCCCCCTTAACAGACGGCATCACGTCTTCGGGTTTCCCTTTATCCAATACTTTCCTGTGTTGCTACAACATAAATCAAAAGAGATCATTAAATGAAAGCTGACTGCACTTTCATCGTGTCACTACCTCTGAAAAAACAGGACAGAGAAAGAAAGCCTATGGTTCTGGTTCTAAAGCTTGTACTGTCTACGGATGGGTCCTCTGACACCACAGAGCAGCGCTGTCCAGAAGAAGTTTGTGTTGATAGAAACGTGGCCAGTAAGCCCCTGAAATGGGGCTAGTAAGACCAAGAAAAGAGACCCTCAAGTTTATTGAATTTTAATCAGCCCCACGTGGCTGCCACACTAGACATCACTGTTCTAGAGGAAGCAGGACTTCCAGACTACCAGTTCAAGAAAAATCTACTTCCTCCCCCTCCCCAAGTCACCACTGAAAGGATTCAACATCAAGCTAAGAGAACCACAAAGGGTTGCTTTCCTGACAGGTACAAAATGACAGCACTATCAGCTTAAACTCCCAAAGACACCTCTGGAGATGCCCGTGACCAGCCTACCTGCCCAAAGGAGCACCGCCCCCACAAACAGAGCTCCTCTGCTGCACAAGTCTCCTCGCTGCCCCTCAACCCCTGCTAGGTAGAAAGCCTCAAAAACCACATCTCCAAATACAGATGCTGACTAGCCTACACCTTGGCATTGAGAAGTCTCTAAGCCTGCCCACCCCAGGAGCTTGAAGCAGCTCCTATGAGTTCTAATAAGGCTCAGGGTGCCTGAAACAGCTCCTGACTGGCCCACATGTCTGAATCCATTTTTCACCCCATTTGTGGTTGTAGGAACAGACACTGTTTAGTAAAGGTAGGACTATAGGGCAATGAGTGGGCAAATGGTAAAAAACTAACCAAATTTAAGCACCAGGTAGCCATGAGCCAGCCCAAACCCTCACTGGCATGGCAGAAACTCTCCAACAGAAATAAACCTAATACTGCCAGACTGCTGGCAAAGGATCATCTGTATATCAGCCCCAGATGTCTGAAGAGCTGATAAAAAGTCACAAGGATGGGTCCCTCTCATTAGGCTGTGTTATGCCTCGTAACTGGCTTTAACACTGCACATGGATTATAAGCTGAATTTGACTCATACCTCACAAGTACCTTTTGAAGAATTGCCCCTGCACTGTGGAAAACAGTTCTAAGCTTGTTAAGCTACCATTAGTAACTCAAACCTCTATTTAAGAGGTATGTATGCTGCCAGGGTGTGGCCAGTGGGAATGCTCACTCACATCTGCATTCTCATACCTGATGTTTCACACATGTGGCAGAGAAAGACTGGAAAATGGAAATGAACTCTACTGATTACAAGGCTTTTTGACCTCATATTTGGGGGTGAAAGTGTCCAAATAAAAACACTCTTCAGATGGTAATATAGGTTTACAACCCTTTATCTGAACAACAGCTATAAATAGATGTTTTGAACTTTTCTAAAGCCCAGAAGTTTCAGGGTTTTTGTTTTGTTTTTAAGTAAACATAATAGAGTTTTAAAATATATTATGTAATGTCTTCCACAGAGTTTGGGCAGCATCTTGCCACCAAACACGTTCATTTGTATGGTAAAACATGACCATTCACATTAATCCTGGTCAGGTTTTACTGCCATATTTACAAAAACACGTTTTGGGGATGTGGAAGCACACACAGGAGATTATAGGCCTGGAACAGAAAAAAGTGTCCTTCTCACACTGTTGATCATATATACGCCTTGGTGCCTATGATCACTAAAACCAACATTCATTCCAGCTGGCCTACTCTCTTCAGGGCACAGGTTAGGGTGAGAACATGTATTTTCCTGAAACATTACTCAGGGTGTCCAGGAGGCTCCCTAACAATGAGTGGGGTTTGCTGGGTGATAAAATCACAAGTGATGGTTCTTCCAACCAGCTCCTTTGACAGTGAAATACTCTAACCTCCAAAATGAGCCACAAAGAATTATTTAAAAAATCAGGCCCCCATATCATGGACCAGGAAGGGAAAAAAATCAGCATAGTTATCTTCCTAGTCAGCTTCATTTGGCTTCCTGAAATGGTCAGTTTTAGAGGAACCTCTGAAAGCTATTGACTTTCATGACTTTCCAGAAAAAGGCTTGTTGACTTGGGGGAAGCCATACACCAAAAAAGAAAACAAGAAAATAAATAAGTAAACAAATTTAAGCACTTGCACAAAATGGGGAGTTATTCTAATAATGACATTTTTCTCTGGCACTGAACAGGCAAAACCCATGTCTGATTCCAAAACCTGCCTTTACAAAGGCCTTATCCTAAAGTAGATAGACTTGAGACACACTGACCCGCCAGATGAGACAAAGTTGCAAATCTCAGGTAGTTGTCACCTCCACTCAACAGCCAGCCGCACCCAACTGCTGCCATAAATTTCCATCATGGGCCCTGTCCAAAAAGGAGCTTATTCTAGGGAGAATATAACCAACCACGGCTCCAGAGGACAAAGCCTCAAACTTCCCAGGACAAATAATCACATGACAGACTCACTTTCTGCCTGCACAGCGGCTCCTTCTTGTTTTCTTCGGCCTTGGCATCCTGTTGCGCAGAGTCTTTGGGTGTGTTTACTGCTAAAACATCATTTATTGTGGAGCCAACCACCATGATCTTGGCTCCGCTGGTCACCTTTATTTCCCTCAACGTCTTATCCTCAGGGACAAGTCCCTTATACATGACTTTCTGCATGGCCGGCGGGAGACCTTGGGAAAAGACAGCAGATAGTCAAAGAAAAAAATCAAAAAACATACTTGGACCAGAGCACTTGGGCAACAGACCCCAAAGTAAATACTGCTCTTCCACCTATTACTTTTGCACACTTGGGCAATTCACAACCTGTCTCAGCCTCAGCTTCCAAAACTTTACAATAGTGATGACAGTAGTTCCTTCTGTATAGACTTGTTTCAAGGATTACAAAATATGACAAACAGTATTTAGTGAAATACCTAGTATTTAATAATTGATCAATAGATATTAGCTGTCACTCATCCCAAGTTGTTCCTCAATCTTCCAACCACTCAAATATGAAATGAGAGTCCACAAGCCTCAGGGAAACAAAAACCAAAAAACACCAAGTTTTTGTTTTTATGCAGGCCACAGGCTACATGGAGAAAACCTTTTAAAAATCACTTCAGATGGCAAAGCATTATAAACAAGGTAAAATTAAATAACAGGAGCACCACCTGGTCACTGGGGCTCAGTGGCTGAGCATCCATCAACCCATGCACCAAGAGGTCAAAGTTTAATTCCCAGTTAGGGCACATGCCCAGGTTGTGGGCCAAATCCCCAGTTGGGAGCATACAGACAGCAACCAATCAATGTTCTCTCTCATTGGTGATTCTCTCTCTCTTTCCCTCTCCCTTCCCCTCTCTCTAAAATTCCATAAAGAAAAAAAAATTTTAATAACAGGAGGACCTGTGAAGGGGCCGGCATCACGGTCATCAGCAGTGTTTCCTAAACTTCCCTTGTGAGAATTGCCTGATATTTGCTACAAATAAATTCCTGGCAACATTCCAGCCCCACTGAATCAAAATCTCCCAGGGGGAAAAGCCCGAAAGCTGTAAATTTAACAAGTGCCTTAGGTGTTTTTATTAGAGATGTTTAGGGAACATTAGTTAGACGCCTGGGCCTATAAGTCAGACCTGGACCTCAATCCCAGCTCGGCCACTTACTAGCTCTACGATGCCAGCTCTCGTTTTGCCCATCTGAGTAATGGGCATCCCAGTAGCCACTTTGGAGAACTGCTGTGAGCACTGCGGATGCTGATGCTGGCAGAGCGGCCGGCGCGGTGCCTACCACAGTGTGAGCACTAGGAACGGCAGGCGAGGTGGGGAGGGCGGCGTGGCTGTCGGGCCCGGGGGTTACCTGTAATCGAGTGAATCTTCTGTTTCAGCTCGGAGCCTGTACTGTCCAGAGGGAACTTCACGTCGTGCTTAGTCTTGTTCCAGATGATTTTCAGGTCCACCAGCTCCCTGCCCGCGCTGCCGCCGCCCGCGTCCTCGCCATTGCTGACCGAAGCCCGGCCCGCGGGGTCCCCAGGGGGCTGGGCCGGGGCCGGCTGCAGGTTGCCTCGCGCCGCACAGACGTCCTCGGCCGCCGCCCCCGCCGCGGCTTCGGCCTCCATGCAGTTGAGGGGCCGCGCGGGCGCCTCGGCCGCCACGGTCTCGGCCTCCGTGTCCATGCCAGGCTCCTCCATGCCTGCAGGGGGGGCAGGGGGTGGGCGCTCGCCGCGGGCTGGGCCTGGGGCCGGACTCCGCCGCACCCCGGCTCCCAAGCCAGGGCTCTCCCCACCTCACCCCACCCCACCCCGCCCCGCCCCCGGGCCGGGCCGCGTCCCGGAGAAGCAACCGCTTCAGCCGGGCCCAACCCGGGCGCTCGCCACCCCGCCACACTTACCATCCGGGGCCCCGGCCGCCGCCATGATGATTGTGTACAACACCCACCGCGCCCGCAGGGGCCGCCGGGAAAAGGCGAGCTGGCGGAGATTGGCCCCCGCTGCAGCCCCTAATCTCGCCCGGCCGGGCCGGAAACAGGTGGAGGTTTCTATGGAGACCCGCCTCCTCCGCTTCCCGGGCCGGCCCCTGCCACGCTTTAGCTTTCCTCAGCCGAGGGGGCAGGGCCCGGGAATTCGCCCGCTCGACGGGCTCTGCCCTCTAGAGGCTGAGCGGGGCCGCAGCCGTGCAGGGGGGCGTGAGCTCGCAGACTAAGCGGCCTGCGCCTTTAAGAAACGGGGCTGGGCCCCTGTGGGGGAAGTGGATTGGCTGTGAGGAGTCCCCGGAAATGGTCTCGTAGAAGACCACGTGGGCGAATCCAACCCACATGGCGGTGCTCCTGAGGACGCTGCTGCAGTCGGGAAGGTTCCCGAGAGTCTTGGGGCGCCCCCTGGGACCGCGCGAGGCTACCCTGGGCACTGATTCTGGGGCTGCGGTGCGAGTGCGGTTCGCCCCCAGCCCCACAGGTAACCTGAGTGGACATGGCGCAGCAGGCCGAGGCCCACCGTCCCGAGCCCGCCCCCCGAATGTTCCCTTCCGGTGGAGTAAAGACTGGGAGGGGGAGGGCCGCGCGACCCCGTTAGCGGAGGCAGAAACAGGTCCACGAGCGGAAATTACTCGCGTTGCCAGGAATGTCTTTGTGTGTATCGGATTGCCCCATCTCATTCCGCCGCCTTTTCATTTAGTACAGACTGCAAGGTGCTGTTCCGCTGGGACAAAGTGGCCTTTGGGAAAGTAGGGCCCCTACTCTAGTGGCCGCGATAAACATATATAAAAATACTGTCATTTTTGGCAGTCACGTGTGCCTGAGAGTTATGTAGGATACTCAAGAAGGCCTTGCTGAGGAGGTAACATTTGAGCTGTGAGAACCAAGTGACAGGGAGTTAGTAAAGAAGGAAGCTTCTGAGCAGAGGAAATTGCAGGTACACAGGTCCCGTGGTTACTGTTGGAGCTTAGCAAGCCAAAGGGAGTTAGGGGCCCATTGTATACCCTAGTGAAGAACTTGTTAGGGCCTCCCCACCCGTTCCCGAAATTCTTACAAAGCTACGTCTGCCTTCTTCAAGATGAGTGTGCCTCTCCTTCTGAACCCCAGGGTCAGTATATAAGGCTACCTTTGTGGCAAGATTCCAGCTGCATAGAAGGACAGGATCTTTTTTGGCAGGCGGTATAGTGTAAAGTGTGCTTCTCAAACCATCCGTGCTGAAAGAACCGGTTTCTTTATTTTTAATATTTTATTCTTTATTGATTTTAGAGAGAGAGATAGAAACATCGATGAGAGAGAACATAGATTGGCTGCCTCCTGCACGCCCACAACCTGGGCATGTTTTCTGACCTGGAATTGAACTGGAGACCTCCAGGTGCCATGGGTCGATGCTCTATCACTGAGCCACACCGGCAGAGCTGCAAGGGCTGATTTCTAATTGTTAACCAATTATGGACGAATGCTTTTATAAAATCAATGTAAGTGGATTACTAGAAAAATGAAAACTTTGAAAGCATATAAAACATGAGCCTACTTTTTGTTAAATTAAAAAGATAGAGACCTGGCCGATTTGGCTCATTTGTTAGAGCGTCGGCCTGCAGTCCGAGAGACCCGGGTTTGGTTCCCGCTAAGGGCATGTACCTAAGTTGCAGTTTGTCCCCGGCCCTGGTTGGGTTGTGCGGGTGCCAACAACTCGATGTGCCCCCTTCACGTCGATGTTTCTCTCTCTCTCTCTCTCCCTCCCACTCTATCTGTACAAAATATCAAAAAATGTCCTCGGGTGAGAAATAAATAAGAGAGCTCTGGCCAGTTTGGCTCAGTGATTAAAGCATCTGCCTGCAGACACAGGAGTTGTGGATTTGATTCCAGATCAAGGGCACATATCTCTGTTGCAGGTTCAATCGTGTCTCTTTCTCCTTCTCTCTCCCTTCCTCCTTATCTTTAAAAAAGTCAGTGGAGCCCAGCCCATGTGGCTCAGTCGTTGAGTATTGACCCATGCACTAAGAGGTCTCTGGTTGGATTCCTGGTCAGGGCACATGCCCAGGTTGTGGGCCAAGTCCCCAGTGGGGGGCATGCAGGAGTTGATCAATCAGTGTTCCCTCTCATCGATGTTTTCATTTCTCTCTCCCTCTCCCTCTCTTTCTAAAACCAATAAAGAAACAAAATATTTTTAATAAGTAAATGAAGTCAATGGAAAATATATCCTCGGGTGAGGATTAAAAAATTTTTTTAAAAATTGTCTGGCCGGTGTGGCTCAGTGGTTGAGCATCGACCCATGCACCCGGTCAGGGCACATGCCCAAGTTGTGGGCCAAATCCCCAGTGGGGGGCATGCAGGAGGCGGCCAGTCGATGTTCTCTCTCATTGATGTTTCTGTCTGTCTCTCTCTTCCTCTCTCTCTCTAATATCAATAAAGAAAAAAATTTTTTTAATAAAAAAAATTGAAAATTATGCTATCATATTGCTGTAAATTTCTAAATATTTGCTCTCAATTTCTGTGTTTTCTTTGTTGTGAACTGGCAACAGTTTACAGACCAGCACCGGTTTGGATTCCAAAGCCTGAGATTGGGTACAAATTTATGGTTTTTCCACTTCCTAACTGTATGACTTGGGCCGATGACTGAACCTCTGAGAGCCTCTGAGTTTTATCATCTGTCGAACAGAGCTAGTAATAGTACCCATCTCATGGGTTTGAGATAATACGGCTGAGACACTTAGCAAAGTCTGGTACTTATACAAAGTACTTAATAAACAGTAGCCTCTATTGTAGTGATTTTAATTGGTATTTCCTTGCTGATTTGCAGAAAAGCCCCGTATGGCAAAGGCTGTTGACTATAGACGATAAAAGAATTATCAAGCAACATAGATCATTACAACAGCTAAAATCAATTGAAGGGTGTTCTTTGGTCAGCAGCGCCATAAGGAAGGTTTTTGTTTTTGTTTTTAATCTCTCTATTAGATGAGAAAATGGAGCTCATACAAGTTGAGTACCTTAGGGATAGCAACTAGTAAATGGTGAATGCAGAATTTGAATCCAGGTCTATTTCATGTACGAAGTCTTGCTTTTAATTGCTGTATCTGTCTTCTATCTTGGGGACCACTGGTGTTTGTGGTGGGCTTGCAGTAACTAGGTGAATGTCACACACACAATCAGTGTTGAAGTGAGTCTCTCTGATGCTAGGGGAGCTTCACCTGTCCTGTGCTGCCTCCTGCACTTGGAGGTGCAGAGGAGTTCATTGTGCCGACAGGGCAGTGGGCTAAACCAAGGAAGGTAGGGTAAGGGGAAATAACAGCCCTGGGAAATTTGTTCATTTTAAGTTCTCAGTCAGGAATTATGGAAAAGTAAAATATTAAGAGTTTAAATTTGGGTGAAGAGAAATATGGAATCAAATGTTACTTTTGGTTAGCCTTTAAAGCCAGCGCTTAATGTGAAAATCTCAAGTCGACAAAATTCAAAATGTATAATGAGGATAGTCATAGCCATGCTTAGAGGGTGTATGTACAATGTCTTTTTCTTTTTTTTAATCCTCACCTGAGGACATTTTTTCATTTTTTGTTCAGATAGAGTGGGAGGGAGAGAGAGGGAGAGAGAGGAATAGAGAGAGAAAAACATCAACGTGAAAGGGACACATCGAGTGGCTGCCATCCGCACGACCAACCAGGGCCAGGGACAAACTGCAACCGAGTTATGCTCCCTTAGCAGGAACTGAACCCGGGTCTCTTTGGATTGTAGGCCGACGCTTTAACCACTGAGCAAAACCAGCCAGGGCTAGAATGTTTTGTACAGTATTTTTAACTTGTAATTAATTTTTCCCCAAGCACATCATTGACTTTGCATAAGTTAAATGCACATGTAATAACGGCTTCAGTGAAGATACCTCTGCCTCTCCTTTGGGTGAAACTTGGCCTTGAGGCAAATTTCAAAGTAGAGGGATAGGTGCATTTGGGGGGAGTTAGAGCCATTTTACAAAATGACATTCTCCAAAATATGGATGGTCTTGTTTTAGAAAGATGGGACAGAGGTAGCGGTTTCTTGGGCTTTGATATTCATTGAGACATTCTGTCACAAACAGAGCTTGCTTGCACCTCAACTGAGGCTCATCAGCCTATGTTCCTTGTCTTCTCTGAGCTGTCCTCTTCTACCAGGCTTCTTGCACCTGGGTGGCCTCCGCACAGCCTTGTACAACTACATCTTTGCCAAGAAGCATGGAGGGAGCTTCATCCTGCGGCTGGAGGACACGGACCAGACCCGCCTTGTGCCTGGGGCAGCAGAAAATATTGAGGACATGCTGGAGTGGGCAGGTGAGGCTGGCTGGGAAAGGAGCTGTAATCTTCCCACAGGGCTCAGGGTGGAGAATGAGGAGTTCTTGGAGAAGTGGGGACATCTGTGCTACCTGATGTTGCAGGTGCGACCTGAGAAGATGATGAAGCTGCCTGAAGAACAGCTGCAAGGCTATTTTGAGATTCCCGTTCTTATCCCAGATTCTCAAGTCCTGGGAGCAGGCAGGAAATAGGCCAAGTATAAGATGGACCTGGGGGCGCTAGACCTGTGGTGAGCGAGAGAAAGTTCTAGTCTCTAATTTTTTTTAAATCCTCATCTGAGGACTTTTTTTTTCCCATTTATCTTCAGACAGAACAGGAGGGAGAGAGGGAGGAAGAGAGAGAGAGAGAAACATCGATGTGAGAGAGACACATCAACTGGCTGCCTCCCACACAACCCGAGCCAGGACCAGGGACAAACCAGAACTAAGGTACGTGCCCTTAACAGGAACCGAACCTGGGACTCTCTGATCCGCGGGCTGATGCTCTAACTGCTGAGCAAAACCGGCCAGGGCTAGTCCCTCATTCCTAAGAGGGAATGCTGGTCCAGCTTGTCCGATCTTCTACCTTCTAAGAGGAGAGGAGCCACAACTCCAGGGTTTTTGTTGTTTTTCAATGAATACTTCCCATTGTTAAATTTGAACTCAGGCCTCCGCCAGGGAGGGGTTGGTCAGATTCCCAGCCAGGCCCTTTAGAGGAGGACACGGTGTTTCCTAAGCCCAGGCATCAATGGGAACGGACCAAAGAGTTTCAGGGAAACTCCATATATTCCTGAGTCAGATCTAAGCCCTAGGCACACCTGAAGATGTGTTGCTCCTTTGACATTCTGAGTTCTTTTTTTTTTTTGCTATTTTGTTCAGATAGAGTGGGAGAGAGAGAGAGAAACATCGATGTGAAAGGGACACATCAAGTGGTTGCCACCTTCACAACCCAACCAGGGCCGGGGACAAACTGCAACCGAGGTACATGCCCTTAGCGGGAACCCGGGTCTCTCTGGACCGCAGGCCGACACTCTAACCACCGAGCCAAACCGGCCAGGGCGACATTCGGAGTTCTTGTCCACACATTGCATGCACAGTGCCCCACACATTGGATATTGTTCACAGTCATTTCTCCGGTTCCGAAAAGCATTTAACATAGCTTGAATGCATAAGGTAGCTCTATTTTTAATAACACGTAAACATTTGAGCATTGTATTTCTCACATCCCTTCTTGTGAGTGCTAGACTTCTATCTATTTTAGTTGGATTTTGTTTTGAAACTTTGCTTTCATATGAACACTCAGCAGAATAGTACTTCTTGCCAATTATCTATTAACAACAATAACAACAAAACCAGAAAACAAAACAAAACAAAAAAACACCTTTGATTTGTAGTTTTAAAGATTAACCCTCAAAGTTCTCTTCATATTGCTTTGACATTTTGGGTTGTTCTGTTCTGTTCATTTTCTTTTGCTTTTTTGTGTTTTTTGTTTGTTTTTACTTTTGCATTTAAGACAATTAAATTTGCTTTTGTTTTGCTAAAAAAAAAAAACCTGAACTCAGGTTTTGGGGGACTTTTTTAACCACATTGTACAAGCGAAACCAAATGCGTGCATCCTCTGAAGTTGATCTTCTTGTGGGAATTTAATCCTGAGCATAGCTAAGCTATGTCAGGGAGGACAAGGAGGAATGCGTTTGTGTTCCCTGGTCAACAGTTGCCTACCTGCCAGGACAGGTATAACTAGTTAAGCTCCCTAAGAAAAAAATACCAACTGTTTTGAGATGTGTATTTTAATCTCAGGTAAATTATTAATTGGACTCTGGATTCCTAAAGGGCAGAAACTGATTTCATTTCTGTTTTCTATCACAGAGGTTATAGCAGACACTCAGTCAAGATTAGCCGAATAAAAGGGCATTCATTCACCAAGATCACGCACTGTGACCCAGGTTTTGTTCCAGCACTGAACAAAGACCCTGTGCTTAGTAGGGCAAACAGATGAATCCATTCTTCTTATGATATTAAGTGATGGTATGTGTGAAGACTAATAGGTTTGGGAACCCGTAGGGAGGGGTGCGCGTTTAGATAGGGTGATCTTCATTGTGGAGATGACATTAGAGCAGAGACTTGCACAAAGTGAGGGGCCAGCTCTGTATTCAAAGCAGAGGAAATAGCAGGTGCAAAGGCTCCTGGAAACCAAATGCTGGGCATGTTAGAAGAGCAGCTAAAAGGCCAGCATGATCCCAGGCAAAGTGAACATTTGGATTACATGTGGGCAGTCGATTGGCACGAGGTGATGAACAGGTCCTACTCTAATGGAGCCTCTGGTGCAGCGCAACTGTGTGAGGGAGGCCCTACCCCAGCATTTTGGTGAGGCAGCGGGCAGGTACCCAGGCACCCCAGGGCTTTTACTTAGCATAGGGTTCAGCAGTGTTGTAGCATATGTCAGCACCTCATTCCTCGGTGACCCAGTAACAGTCATGGTATGGCAATACCACATTTTGCTTATCCATTCATCCATGGGTGGGCATTTGGCTGTTTCCACTTTTTGGCTATTACAAGTCACTGCTGTGGACATTTACATCCTAGTTTCTATGTGCACATATGTTTTCAGTTCCCCTAGAGGAGTCACTCCTAAACCCTGGGACATTCAGTTAGATCAGGAAGGGACTGCCAAATGTACCTAATCCAACCCTCTTTTCTGACAAATGAAGAGATGGAGGCCCAGGGGGAAAGGAGCTAAATAATACTGATAATCACAGCCAAAGCTGACTGGCTTGCACATACTAGGTAGCACGCCTGTGACCTGGCAGCCATGTGACGACCTTCAGGAGAAGGTCACCATTTGTGTCCTTTCACAAACGAGAAACGGAGGCTCTGAAAGGCAGCCCGCCCAAGGTCTCAGTGCTGACCAGTGTGTCTGCACCTGGGCTCGTTTCCTCCAAAGTTTGTGTTAGTGTTGGTGTGTAGGGTTAGCCCTGTTCTTATATTCCTAGTTCATTTGAAACCAGGGCTGGGGATCAAACTACAAGCCAGGTATGTGCCCTTGACCAGGAATCTAACCCATGACCCTTTGGTCTAAGGGCTGATATTCTACCCACTGAGCTGTAGGGGCCAGGGCTTATTATTGCTTTTTTTTTTATCCTCACCCGAGGACATTTTTTCCATTTTTTTGTTCAGATAGAGTGGGAAGGAGAGAGAGAGAAAAAAAAAAACATCTACATGAAAGGGACACATCGAGTGGCTGCCTCCTGCACGACCCAACCAGGGCCAGGGATGAATTGCAACCAAGGTACATGCCCTTAGCGGGAACCAAACCCGGGTCTCTCTGGACCACAGGCCAACGCTCTGACCTCTGAGCCAAACCGGCCAGGGCCTTTTTATTGCTTTTTAGAGTGAGCGGGAGAGAGAAAAAATTTGTGCTGCTGCCTCCTGCATTCCCCCCACCAGGCCTCAAGCCCACAACCCAGGCATGTGCCTCAACCGGGAATCCAATCAACCTTTTGGTACATGGTATGACATTCAACCAACTGAGCCACACCGCCAGGGCTGTGCTTGAATTTTCATCTGTGAAAGGGAAATTGTGATAGTACTGAGCTCACACATTGTTGGGAGGAATAAAGCGTTGCTGTTTGCCAAGCCCTCAGAGCAGTGCCTGAACCAGTGTCACATGCATCTTACTATGATTTGGTGATTATACTCTGTCCACGCTCTAGGCATCCCCCCTGATGAGAGCCCACGCCGGGGAGGCCCCGTGGGGCCCTACCTGCAGTCCCAGCGGCTCGAGTTGTATGCCCAGGCCGCAGAAGCTCTGCTGAAGACCGGGGCCGCTTACCCCTGCTTCTGCTCATCACAGCGGCTGGAGCTGCTGAAGAAGGAGGCCCTGAGGAGCCACCAGACTCCCCGGTAAGAGCCCCAATTTGTCATGCTTCCGCCCCAAAGTCAGGAGTATTCGTTATTTGTTGCTGCATAACAAGTTACCCCCAAACTTTTTTAAAAATATGTTTTTATTGGTTTTTGAGAGAGAGAAAGAGAAACATTGATCAGCTGCCTCCTGCACACCGCCACTGGCGATTGAACCCACAATCTGGGCACGTACCCTGACCAGGAATCAAACCAGTGACCTCTTGGTGCATGGGACAGTGCTCAACCACTGAGCCACACCAGCCAGGCTACCCCCAAACTTTTATCATCTCACAGTGTTCGTGGGTCAGGACTCTAGACCTTTGACTCAAGAATTTTCTCAGTGGTCGGCTCACAGAGGATCTGCTTCCATTTCCCCATGAGACTGTTGGCAGACCTCAGGGCCTCATTGGCTGTCGCCTGCACACAACTGCTCCTTGCCACGGGGGCCTCTCCATAGGGCAGCTCACAGCATGGCAGCTGGCTTTCTCAGAGTGAGCCAGGGAGAAAGTGAGAGAGCGAGAGAGAAGCCACAGTCTTTCGAGGAAGGGACGGCTCATCACTTTGGTTGTGCTCTGTTCATTAGGAGGAAGTCACCAGGCCCAGCCCATACTCACAGGAAGGGGATGCACAAGGGCCGAAATACCATATTTCAGCTGCCAATTGCATTGAGTCCTAGGCAGTTACACATAATTTTAGTTATTTGTTATTTTGAATAAGTAAAATTTTCTCATGTTCAGAAAAATATATACAAAAAGCTCTGTCCTGGCCCTGAGTACTCGACTTCCTCTCCAGAGACAGCTGATGTTAGAGTTTGCTTATGTCTCCTGCAGAAACATTCAGTACGTACACTGATATATACATATTATTTCTCTTTCTCCCTGTTCAAATAATACCACGATAAATATGCAACTTCTGGTCTCAAGGATCAGTCTGTGTCAGTCCACAGTTTTTCTTATGCTTGCATGATATTCCATTTTAGATATGCCATCATTCACTTAATCACTTTCTTACTAATGAAACTTCATGTCTCTTCTAATGTTTGTTATTGAAAAAAGAGAACTGTGCCCTGGCCAGGTGGCTTGGTTGGAGCACCCTCCTGTACACCAAAAGGTTGCAGGTTCAGTCCCCAGTCAGGGCATGTACAGGAGGCAACTGATGACGTTTCTCTCTCTCCCTCCCTCCCTCCCTCCCTCTTCCTCTCTCTCTCTCAAAATCAATAAAAACTTATCATTGGGTGAGGATTAGAGAGAGAGCTATGACAGATGAAGTTGACGGGCATCACTGCACACATGCAGTATGTTGTTGGAGACCTTCCGAGATGTGCTGCCTGGTGCACCTGCACTCCCATCGATGGTGGCATCATTACTTAAGATCCAGTTTCAGCCTGGCCGGTGTGGCTCTGGTTGAGCCTCGACCCTGCACTAGGAGGTTGCTGGTTCAATTCCCAGTCAGGGCACATGCCCAGGTTGTGGGCCCAATCCCCAGTCAAGGGTCATGCTGGAGGCTACTGATCAATGTTCTCTCTCATCAGTGTCTTTCTCTCTCTCTCTCTCTCTCTCCCCCCCACCTCTAAAATCAATAAAGAACAAAAAAAAGGTCCAGTTTCAGTGAAGCATCTGCACAGGGTTCGGAGGATTAGACGCTCACCACATTCACTGCAGCCCTGCTCTTTCGTTGTGAACACTGCCTATCCACTGACAGAAGATTAGGTTTTTGCCCAAGGTCGTATAGTTATCAGAGAATAAATAGGGCCCATGCTACTGTACTTCCCAACAGGTATGACAATCGGTGCCGGAACCTGAGCCCGGGGCAGGTAGCTCAGAAGCTGGCCAAGAACCCCAAGCCTGCTATCCGCTTTCGCCTGGAGGAGGCGCCAGCCTTCCAGGACTTGGTATACGGCTGGAATCGGCATGAGGTGGCCAGTGTGGAGGGGGACCCGGTCATCCTGAAGAGTGACGGCTTTCCCACATACCACCTGGCCTGCGTGGTGGACGACCACCACATGGGCATCAGCCATGTGCTACGTGGCTCGGAATGGCTGGTCTCCACCTCCAAGCACCTGCTGCTCTACCAGGCCCTGGGCTGGCCGCCGCCTCACTTTGCCCACCTGCCCCTGCTCCTCAACAAGGATGGCAGTAAATTGTCCAAGAGGCAAGGAGACATTTTCCTGGAGAAGTTTGCTGCTGCTGGCTTCCTGCCAGATGCTTTGCTCGACATCATCACTAACTGTGGCTCGGGGTTCCCAGGTACCCACTTTACCTGAGCGCTCCTGGTGGGACCGGGGCTTGGGTGTAGGCCCACCTGGTCTGCATCCAGCTGTGTCACCTACCAGCTGCGCCAACCTGCACGAGTTCATTGTTTCATTCCACAAATGTTTATTGAGGCAGATGCAGGGTCAGGTGCTAGGGCTACAGCAGTGAACACGGCAGGCATGGTCCTTGTCCTCAAGGAGCTTATGGTCTCTGAGCCTTGGTCGCCTCATCTGTAAAGTGAGGCTGAATGTCTGCCTCTTAGACGTAAGGATTCACTGAGCTCATGAGTGTGAGGCCCCAGCATAGTATCTGCCACACAGTAAGCACAGAAATGGCAGCTGCTGTGATTATTATAGTTATGTTACTGCTCTAATAGTATTACTAGTATTATTGTCACCCTAGTTTATTTCAAGCTGAGCCTTTATCCTTGGCTCCAAGACTTAGGGCCCATATCTTGAAGAAGCACCAAATAGGATGACCTCTTTGTGGGGGAGAGTTCTGAAAATGAGGCAGTAATAGTCTGCTTATTGTTTCTTCTGCTCTTATTAATCCTTAAAATACCCTTGGGAGGTATTTATTATCTCCACCGTTTGTAAGAGGATTGGGAGACTCAGAGAGGTTAGGGAATTTGCCAGTGTCACAGCTAGTATGGGGTGTGACAGGCTCGTGTTGGCTGAAGTCTGATCACGATGCCCACTGGCTGTGGGACAGCTGTGGGACAGCTGCTGTCCTGAGAAGCCCCCAGCAGAGCTGTTCTCAACTCTGACTGCTCTTTGGAATCACCCGGGAAGCTGATAAAACACCCTGGCGCTCACACCCACCCAGACCCGTGGAGCCGGGCTCGGGAGCCAGGCAGTGGGCGTGCTGCTCTTGCGGCTCATGTCTTTGAGGGCAGTGAGTGTGGCTTCAGCCCGATCGTTTTCAACCCGTTTTTTCCTTAATGACAGAACTCTAACTGCAAACGAAAGCTTATTTGGGCCCTTGGTGTAAAAATAGCTAGAGGTTGAATCCCTTTGGTGAAAGTGGGACGGGGAGCCCAGAGCAGGCTCACTCAGCCTCTCAGAGTTGAAAGTGGAGGGAGGGAGTTGACCGCTAGACTTGCCTCACTTGCAGAGAACCAGATGGGCAGGACCTTGCCAGAGCTGATAGCTCAGTTTGACCTGACCCGGATAACCTGCCACTCAGCCCTGCTGGACCTGGAGAAGCTCCCGGAGTTCAACAGGTGAGTGGGGAACTAGAGAGTCCTGGTGGGAAAGGGCTTTCGTACTGCCAATGGGTCCTCACAGCAGAGGGTCCTTTGGGCTCCGGAGTCACATACACCTAATTTTGACTGTGAACTCAAGTGCTGTGTGACCACAGGTAGTCACCTGACCTCCTCAGACCTGTTTCCTCTTCTCTAAAATGGGGTTAATAACCATATCCACGTTGTGCAATTGTTTTAAGAGTTGAGTTAAATAAAATGTTGCATCAAAGTGTTTGCACAGCCCCTGGCACGAAGAAAGTGCTGTCAGTGGTAGGTATTTTATCGTTACCATCATTCCTGGGCACCCCTCGTATGGATTCTGTTGACCACCAAAGGCTCGCAGGGAGCATCTTCATTTTAGAACCCCCACCTTCAACACTGAAGGAGCACTGTCTCATGTCACCTATTTCATGTTTCAAGTGGTCCTTCACTCTGAAACCTCCAAACATAGCTATAGTTCCCGTCACTGTTGACAGGTCCCAGGCTGAGGGCCTGTGTGGTCCAGCAGCAGACAGGCTTGTATGCACAGTTGCCGGGACTCCCTGAGCGCTGGGTTGGGGACAGGTCTCCTTGGCGTGCTCCTTGCAAGAGCCCAGGGCACTCATGAGTGGCAGGGGTTTCAGGGCTATTCATTACTTCTGCAGTCAGACCTGGGAGGTCTGTTATATGATTTTGCCCTATTTTACATACGTGGAAACCAAGACAGAGGAGTTACGTAACTGGCCCAAGTTCACTCAGTAAACAGCTCTTAAATGGGGAATTCAAGAGCAAATGCAACCCACGTGTTGACTGCAACTTGTACTCTGCCTTTCTTATCAAGGACTGGGGGATGCTTTGTGACCTGCTCTGGTGCCCCTGAAGCATGTGGGGCAGCTGAAGGGAGACATAGGTGGACTTTTGCTTAGTGTAAATCGGGAGGAGATAGGGCTTTGGGAGACCAACCGGTGTAGCGCAGCCAAAGCTGTTGCATTAGACATTCCACGGGCTCTCGCCCTTCTGTGTTCCGACTTGCTGAGGCCCATGTTCAGACCCCTGCCCCTTCACAGCTCTGGTTGTGGCAGGACAGGCCCATGCTCAGAGCTGCACTGATAGTCCTCACTCAACCTGCATAGCACCCTGTGAGGAAGGTCCCTGCTGTTCCCATGCTACAGGTGACCATCCTGAGGCTCCAAAGGTCGTGTAACTTACTGTGAACACCTGGTGGGGCTGGCCTCACTCACAGACCTGTCCAGTTCCAGAGCCCAGGAGATGTGCACTCACCCTGGCTGCCTGCCTTCTGTGCCAGGGACAGGGACCTGAGCCTGGCACCACTCACGCTCTGTCTCTCTCTCTCACACATCCCTCTATTCCTGCTAAGAATGGGGACAGGGAAGCCTAGAGGGCCAAGCACTAACAGGGCCTGGCTGGCATGTTTGCATCTTAGAGGCAGAAATGAGACAAGAATTCTGGAAGGGAGGTAAATGGAACTGTCAGTAAACCTGAACTTGTTAACTGGGTGCTCTGAATTCAACTCTGTCCCTGGACTGTCCCTTTGCGCTCTATTCTTGAAATCTGTGTTCCTTTTTTTTATCCTCACCCGAGGACATCGTTTCGTTTTTTGTTCAGATAGAGTGGGAGGGAGAGAGGAAGAGAGAGAGAGAGAGAAACATCGACGTGAAAGGGGCACATCGAGTGGTTGCCACCCGCACGACCCAACCAGGGCCGGGGACAAACTGCAACCGAGGTACGTTTGTCCTCGGGACAAACCCAGGAACCGAACCCGGGTCTCTCTGGACCGCAGGCCTACGCTCTAACTGCTGAGCCAGACCGGCCAGGGCAAAAATCTGTGTTCTTGACCTCTGCCCTCCTGAGCCTCCCTCGTGCTTCCAGCTGCACGAGGACGTGCACGCCCCTGGCTGTAGAGGTCGGGCGGCCGCCCAGGGGTGCCGTGGCCAGGAGAGGGCCACGTTGGAGGCCGGGGTGGCGCAGACAGGCTGGAAACCAGAAATCTCTTGGTCTAAATGGGCAGCCTCTGCTTGGCTCCAGCCTGTCGAAGTGTTGGAAGCAAGGGCCCTTTGCAGCCAGTTCTGATTTCCCACGAGAAGTGAGAAATGTCATTCTTTATTTAACTTTTTTACAGAGAGAAGTATCAATTTGTTGTTACACTTATTTATACATTCAATGGTTGATTATTGTATGTACCCTGACTAGAGATTGAACCCACAACCTTGGTGTATTGGGACAGTGCTCTAAACAACTGAGCTATCTAGACAGAGCTAGAAACCTCTTATTTTTGTGTGATCTCTTTCTAGGTTACATGTTTCAGACCTCGGCCAGATTCCTTTCCTTCTGTAAATATAAAGAGAATTCTTCGGCTTTTCCCACAGGCTGCACCTTCGCCGGCTGGTGAGCAATGCCACGCAAAGGCACCAGCTGGTGGAGAAGCTGCAGGTGCTCGTGGAGGAGGCGTTTGGGAGCCAGCTGTCAGACAGGGCTGTCCTGGACCCAGCCTATGTGGAGAGGACCATGCTGCTGAGACAGGTGTGGTGTTGGAAGCTTCAGGATACTAAGGGAGTGGTAGCACCCACATCATTCCCCCTTGTCAGCCCTGTCCCCAGTGCATTGAGTGGCTGCCTCTTCCTCCAGGATCACATTTGCCGCCTGCAGGATTTGGTCTCCCCGGCATACTCCTACCTGTGGACTCGCCCTGCTGTGGATCGAGCACAGCTGGGTACCATCTCGGAGAAGGTGGATGAGATAGCCGAGCGTGTGCTGGGGTGAGTCCCCGCAGGCAAGGCTCAAGGTTCTGCACCCTCCTTCCCCCTCTCCCCCAGGCTCCCCGTTACCCCAGGGCTTGGCGGTTGGGCTTGCAGCACAACCCATAGCTAGTGAGAGGTTCTTGAGGAGCTAGTCACTCACTGACTCTTGGTAAGAGGGGAACCCAGAGGAACCCAGGCTGTCCCTGGAAGAGGTGACGTGTCAGGCTCCAGGGCTGGGCCTGCCTGGTTTCATCCCGGCTCCAACTCTTACTAACCCAGTTAATTCACCTGCCCAGATGGCTTCATTTTAGCCAAGTTACTGCACCTGGTTCCTCATCTGAAAGGTGGAGATGAAGCTAGTTCTTACTGTAATGGTACCAGAACACTTTCGATTGACAAGGGTAGAAAACACCCATGGAGGAATGACTGGTCTGTGTAATTGTGGTTAGAGCAAGGGCGGACTTGAAGCTAACACAGGGTCCAAGAATATGTCACCAAGACCCAGTTTCTCTGTCTATCCCTTTGACTCTCTGCCCACACCCATCCACACTGGCTGCTGTCTGCAGAGGCTCTGGACCAGGTAGATGGAGGGTGGGATTCTCTCCCAGCTAACGAGTCCAGGGGCAAACACCTTTCCTCTGTGTCTCCAGGGTCCTTTTAGCCCTAGATTTTGTTCTTGTCTGCATGGTCTGTGGTGGCTCATGGACCATCTGGGATTCTGCCAGAGGAAGGAGGAGGAAAAAAGGAGGTGGACAGGACACGTCCCCTTAAGAAACTGACTCAAAAACAACATGTTCATTTCCACCTGCTAGGATCCTGTTTTATGGCCATGCCAAGCTACAGGGGAGTCTGGAAGATGTACTTTTTTTACTTGGCAGCCATGTGCCCAGCTAAAAGTTTTGTTACTACATACAAAAGCAAGGAAAGAAACTTGTCTAAAATGATACAGCTAGTAAGTTGGAGGATCAGGGATTCAAACCCATGCAGGCTGGGTCGAGACCACATATCTAGGGATCTTCACTCTTGCTTCTCAGTGTAAAGTACTTGCTTGGACACTTTCTGACACCTAGAAACCTATTGTTATAACATACATCTTGTATGTTATACATCTTGGACAGAGACAAATACAAGCATGTGACAAGAAATACAAATGGCACATCCTTGGCCAGGGAGCTCGCTTGGAGTATCGTCCCGATATGCCAGGGTTGCGGGCTCACTCCCTGGTCAGGGCACATATAAGAATCAATAAATACATTAATAAGTAGAACAGCAAAATTGATGTGTCTCTCTCTCTCTCTCTCTCAAATCAGTAAGTTTTTTCATAATAATAAAGAAATACAAATGGTATAAGAGGGTTTATAGCAAAAGCTAAGCCTTGTCTCCCACCCCAGCCTCCAACAGAAAAGTAGCTACATTTAACAGTTGCCTTTGTGAATTGTCTGTATTCAAGCGTATGTGTGTATAACTGTATTGTTATAATTTTGAAATTCAATATTTTGATTATTAATACATTCAGACCTCTTAAACCTGGGTTTAAAACCTAGAAATGATAAGGTATATATTGAGAGTCTTGTTTTTAATCTTGTTTTAATGGGGGCATTTACCCAGTTCCAGAACCCTCTGTATGTTACTACTATTCTTAATTATATCTAAATAATCCTTCTTATCCCCCCCCCTTTTCACACAAAAGGTACAATACAATAACACTGTTCTGTGTCTTTTATTTTTCTTTCACTTAATATATGTTTTGATCTGTCCAGTGCTTGGAGAGCATCATCATTCTTTTTTTCTTCTTTTTTTTAAAGTTTGTTTTATTTATTTATTTATTTATTTATTTATTTTAAAGAGTGGAAGTGAGGGGGTTGGGGGGGGGAGAAACATCAATGTGAGAGAGACACATTGATTGCCTCCCACAAGACCTCAACTGGGACTGGTGATCGAACCTGCAACCCAGGTACATGCTTTTGACCATGAATCAAACCCACAACCCTGTGGTCCACGGACCAGTGCTCTAACCACTGATCAACACCGGCCAGGGCCATCTTCATCCTTTCCTATGGCTACACCTATCCAGTTATCATGCCACTTTACCATGATTTATTTAACACCCCTCCTACCTGCGGACATTTGGATTACTTCCAGATTTTGCTATTACAAACAATGCTGCAATGACTAACCCTGTCCATTCGCCATTAAACATGTATGTAAGTATAGCACCAAGGTGAATTCCCAAGAGCTATTATTAGTAGTAATAATACTCCCTTAATTTTGGACATTCCACTATAGGGGCTGTTGTTAGTCACTAGAACTGTCCTAACTCCCCATCCTGCCGTGAGTTTTTTCGGAGGCACTCTGGGGCTCCCAGTCCAGGCGGGAAAGCTGAGGCACCAGTGGTCAGAAGCTGCCAGATCTCTTGCTGCCCCTCCGTGTGCACACCAAGCTGCAGGCCAGCTCTCGGGTCCTGAACCACCACTGTTGGCCGCCCGGGCTTGTCACTTTCGCCTGCTCCTTTGCAGGCTGCTTCCCCACTGTGACACTGAGGAAACATTGTTTTCCTACATTACATTTTATAGTTTCAGTATTGTATCTCCTCCATTGCGTAAGTAACAGCCATCACTAACCCAGTGGACAATGGAGTAAGAAGGATTACTTCTGTCTCAAGTTGGAACGCAGGTGCTCCAGTCCCAGAGCTAGTCAGGAGATCTGTCTGCGCTGAAAGGCCATTTGTTCAGATCACTTAGGAACCCACTGCCCTTAGCCAACAGCACTGCTCACTGAGCCAGCCTCTGGCGCAGAGCTGTCCAGACCCACTGCGAACAGGTGGTGTGAGAACGGGCATCATGGACTATCTGCTTCAGTCCCTGTTCAGTATGGGACAGACTCCCACCCACCATGCCCCTGTCTTTTGCTCTAACTTCAAGTCAGGGCTGGGGGAAGTGTTTGCAAGTCCAGCTCTAACTGAATAGAGAATTCCACTTGAACTCAAACGCTTTTCTGAGTGGCTGTCACCTGGACTTCCAGGGAAGGGCAATGACGGCGGCCCACTGGAGCTCAGAGCCTTCGATCGTGGGCAAAGGACAGTTGTAGCAAGTTGGTGGCAGGGCCCTTACTGGGGCTGCCTCTCCTGATTGCTTCTTTTCTGCTCTTCTGTGACATCTCCAAAAGCCTCCCCTCCTCCCGCCCCAGTCTTGAAGCTGTCTTTCAGGTCATTTCCCAGAGGGCTTCATCCTCCACCCGGCCTAACCCTTCCTGAGTTTCTCTTCAGGTCCGCTTGCAATGTCTCTGAGCTCTTGGGTATAATCAGTATTGCGAATACTTAACTTTTTATTGAAATATAAGATCTAGCCCTGGCCGGTTTGGCTCAGCGGTTACAGCGTTGGCCTGCGGTCCAGAGAGACCCAGGTTCGGTCCCCGCTAAGGGCACGTACCTCGGTTGCAGTTTGTCCCCAGCCCTGGTTGGTCATGCAGGTGGCAGCCACTCGATGTGCCCCTTTCACGTTGATGTTTCTCTCCCCCCCCTCCCCCCCCCGTTTCTCCCTCCCATTCTATCTGAACAAAAAATAGAAAAATGTCCTCAGGTGAGGATAAAAAAAAGAAATACAAGATCTATCCCGGCTGGTGTAGCTCAGTGGTTGAGCATCGACCCATGCACCAAGAGGTTACCAGTTCGATTCCCGGTCAGAGCACATGCCCAGCTTGTGGGCCCGATCCCCAGTGAGGGGCATGCAGGAGGCAGCCAATTGATGTTCTCTCTCATCAATGTTTCTCTTTCTCTCTCCCTCTCCGTTTCTCTCTCTAAAATCAATAAAGAAAAAAAATTTTTTTTAAAGAAATATAAGATCTAATATTTTTTTTACTACTTTTTGTTTTTTTTATTTTTTTTTAATCCTCACCGGAGGGTATTTTTCCATTTTTTGTACAGATAGAATGGGAGGGAGAGAGAGGAAGGGAGAGAGAGAGAGAAACATCGATGTGAAGGGACACATCGAGTGGCTGCTACCCGCACGACCAACCAGGGCCGGGGACAAACTGCAACCGAAGTACATGCCCTTAGCGGGAACCGAACCCGGGTCTCTCCGGACCGCAGGCCGACACTCTAACCGCTGAGCCAAACTGGCCAGGGCTTTACTACTTTTTGAGTCAATGTACTTAGTGCTTTATTTTTATCTTTTTTTTTTTTTTTCAATCCTCACCCAACGGTATTTTTCCGTTTACCTTCAGATAGAGTGGGAGGAAGGGAGGAAGAGAGAAAGAGAGGTTGATATGAAAGAGACACACCAGTTGGTCGCCTCCCACTAGACCCTGACCAGGGTTGGGGACCAAACTTTAACCAAGTTATGTGCCTTTGACTGGAATCAAACCCAAGATTCTTTGATCTTCGGGCCAACATTCTAACCACTGAACCAAACCAGCCAGGGCTGCTTTACTTGATTTAGCCACACCATAGTTCTGTGAGGTGCAGACACAGAGGTGAGAAAACTGAGGCATAGAAAATTACACCCAGTGTGGCTCAGTGGGTTGAGTGTCATCCCATGGACTGAGAGGTCCCAGTTGGATTCCTGGTCAGGGCATGTGCCCGGGTTGTGCGCTCGATCCCCAGTAGGAGGCATGCAGGAGGCAACCGATCTCTCTCTCTCTGTCTCTCTCTCTCTCTTCTCCCCGTTCCTCTCTTCTCTAAAAAATAATCAATAAAATATATCTCTTTTAAATCAATAAAAATGTATTTTTTTAAAAAAGAAAGAAGTTACCTGCACAGAGGTAGCAGTTAGCAAATCCTCTTACTCCAGTACCTCTTAGTTTCCCTATGTTATGCCCGCATGCAGGAATCTCTGGTGTGGTCCCCTGGTTGTGTTTCCTTCCCCATCTTTGGTGGGGGAGGTGGACCCTCCCTCCCTCCGCTCTCCCAGAGGCTGGCCGGAATGTTGCTATGCTCTTTATGTCACAGCAGATTGAGAGTCTCCCGAGGTTCTCCCTCCCACTCGCTTGCCATTGGCTGCTGCAGGCCCCTCACAAGCTGGTCCTCCTCTAGGCTTTTAGAAGGATCTGGTGGGAACTTAACTCAGGACGTGCTGAACGCAGAACTGAAGAAGCTGTCAGAAGGTCTGGCTGGCACCAAACACAGCAACGTGATGAAACTCCTCCGAATGGCCCTCAGTGGTCAGCCGGTGAGCTGGGCGGGTGGGCGGGACTGTTCCCAGAGTCCTCACTACCCACTCAGCGCACATTCACGGGAAGCACTGGGCTCACCTTTCACACAAAGGTGAATGAATGCGCACTCTCCTCACGCAGTCAACAGACTCCATGCGTTAGCGCCTGCTGTGTGCAGGCGCCATGGTAGCAGGCACAGAGCACCACAGTGAGTGAACACGCAGCTCCCTGCTATGTGCAGGCGCCATGGTAGCAGGCACAGAGCACCGCAGTGAGTGAGCATCAGCTCCCTGCCTTCACACTTCATGGAGCTGGCGGTCGGTGGAGGTAACAGACATATCAATACAGGAAGAACAGGCTCCAGGGATGCAGCCCCAGCCTCGGAAATTAAAGACCATGAAGTGCAGACTCTGCCCCTTGGGGTACAGCGGCAGTGTTGGGGTTGGCTTCGATGTGATTAGTGCAGACCAAGGCTGGTCATTAGTTCTTAGGCAGCTGAAGATGATAGGTGATGTCTTCTCTTTGTTTTTAGCAAGGACCACCTGTAGCTGAGATGATGATGTCCTTGGGACCAAAGGAAGTGTGGGAACGAATACAGAAGGTGCTCTCCAGCTGACAGGAGTGCCAGCCAGTGGAGGTGGCCCCAGGACCCTGTGCATGTGGAGACTGCCTTCAGAGGGGAGGAGCAGGAGCCCTGGGCCATCAGGAACTTGCAGAAGGACGAGAGTGGGAATAGTCCGGGTGCACACAAGTGCATTCACGGCTCCACGCAACCCTGTCCTCACCAGTTGGCTGGGGAAATCCAGCCCCCCTCACCTCCCTGAGTCTGGAGAAGAAGGCCTCGTGTCTGGTTCTGATATCATAAATCATGGCCCAGATTACAAGCTGGTACTTGGAACAGTCCGCAGAGTTCATGTTTAGGCTGCCCAAGCTGCCGTAACAAAATGCCACAGTTTGGGGGACTTAGACAACAGGAAATTATTTTCTCACCATTCTAGAGGCTGCCAGTCTAAGATCAAGGTGTTGGTAGGATTTCTCCTTAGCTTGCTGATGGCAGCCTTCTTGCTGTCCTTACATGGTCGCCTCTCAGTGTGCCCTTGGTATCTCTGTGCGTCCAAAGGTCTTCTTATAAGGACACCAGTCAGATGGAATTAACACCCACCCTAATGGCCCAATTTTACCTTAATCACCTCTTTAAAGGCCCAGCTGCTAATACAGTCACATTTTGAAGTCCTGGGGTTAGGGCTTCAACATAGTACTTTTGAAGGGACACAGCTCAGTTCCTGACAGCTTGGCAGCAGCCTGGACTCAGTTCTCAGCCCCATTTTGGACTCAGCAATAAGGCTGGTTGACAAGCAGGATGTCAGACTTTCTTGGGCTTCTTTCAGGGGTAGGGTGGGGAGGAGCACTTATGGCTTACACAGTCCTCCCTCTCCACTTCGCTCTTCGACTTCCACGGTTTCACTCTATCGCAGTTTTTTCAAATATATTCATTAAAAAGTTGATCAAGCCCTGGCCGGTTTGGCTCAGCGGTTAGAGCATTGGCCTGTGGTCCGGAGAGACCCGGGTTCGGTTCCAGCTAAGGGCACGTACCTTGGTTGCAGTTCGTCCCCGGCCCTGGTTGGGTTGTGTGGGTGGCAGCCACTCGATGTGTCCCTTCCACGTCGATGTTTCCTTCTCTCTCCCTCCCTCCCACTCTATCTGAACAAAAAATGGAAAGAATGTCCTCGGGTGAGGATAAAAAAAAAAAAAAAATGTTGATCAAGACAGTGAAGATGATACAGTGCAAGCTCGGTTGTCTGAGTCAGTTATACACCCCTGTATTACTATTAAAATTATAAGTATGGACTGTAGGCCTATGTATTGGAGCACCCCAGGAATCCTTCAACACCGAGTGTAACCTCGATAAACGAGGGACGACTACTGTTCTTTGCCCTGGACGTGGGGCAGCCTGTCTCCCTTCCCTAAAGGTTGTCTGTTCCTCTTTCCCAGTTCTCCACTTTCACCCTGCCTGTTCTACATCTTGTTCTCATATTTATCTCCTCCTATACCCATTACTACACCCATCGCAGCCAGCCTCTGCGATGGCCCCCGGTCATTGCTCCCTGTTGGTGTTCCCAGGGACTAGTGCTGAGTTGAGATGCATCACGGCCTTCTTATTCTCTTGGAACCCTTACTCTGTGAGAAGCTACTTCCACGTGAGATGCTCAAGTCTTATGGAGAGGCACATGTGAGCAAGAACCGGGTCCTCCTGCCAACAGCCAGGGTAGTGCACTTTCTTGGAAGTCGGTCTTCCCTCCCCAACCAAGCCTTCAAATGACCACATCCTGACTGATGTTGTAAGTGCAACCTTCACCTTCGTGAAAGCCAGAGCCAGAGCAACTAAGTGAAGATGCTCTCCAATTTCAGACACAAAGTATGAGATAGTGTTCATTGGTTTTTGTTTTTATGGGTTTTTTTACTATTTTTTTTTTTATTGATTTTAGTGAGAAGGAGAGAGAGATAGAAACATCAATGAGAGAGAACATCGATTGGCCGCCTCCCTCATGCCCTCCACTAGGGATCTGGCCCACAACCTGGGCATGTGTCCTGACCAGGAATCGAACAGGCGACCTCTTGGTGGATGGGTCGACGCTCATCCATTGAGCCACACCAGCCAGGCAGTGTTCATTGTTTAAAGCAACTACATTTTGCGCTGGCTGTGGGTTTGGTTAGTTGAAGCCTCTTCCTGATGCACCAAGGTTTTGGGTTTGTTCTCTGGTCGGGGCACTTACAGGAAGCAACCAGTGGGTGGAGCAACAGATCAATGTTTCTTTCTCTCTCAAGTCAATTAAAAAAATAGGCCCTGGCCGGTTTGGCTCAGCGGTTAGAGCATCGGCCTGTGGTCCAGAGAGACCCGGGTACAGTTCCCGCTAAGGGCATGTACTTCGGTTGCAGTTTGTCCCCGGCCCTGGTTGGTCGTGTGGGTGGCAGCCACTCGATGTGTCCCTTCACATCGATGTTTCTCTCTCTCTCTCCCTCCCACTCTATCTGTACAAAAAATGGAAAAATATCCTCGGGTGAGGATAAACAAAAAAAAAAAAAAAAATAGGCTGGCCAGTGTGGCTCCGTGGATTGATCATGGTCCCATGCACCAAGAGGTCACCAGTTTGATTCCCGGTCAGGGCACACACCTGGATTGCAGGCTTGATCCCCAGTAGAGGGCATACAGGAGGGAGCCAATAGATGTTTTGTTCATCATGTTTCTCTCCTCTCCCTTCCTCTCTCTAAAGGAATCTATGAAAAAGTATTAAATTTTAAAAATAAGTAAAATAAAGCCACTAGGTTTTGGTACATTTTGTTACCCAGCGACTGATAGCTCACTCCCGCTCACTGTCAAAGGGAGAAGGGAAGGAAGAGTAAAGATGTATTGAGCTTCACAGAGACCTGGTCTCCTCTTGAAGAGTATGTCATGCAGTTCTTTGTAAACAGTGAACACCAGCTCTGCCGATCTGAAGCTTACTGGAGACTAAGTTGATGGGAGTTGAAGCTGTGGGAGAGGCACAGAATCTATGGGAAGCCAAGACCCAGGCCTGGAGAAGACCACCTGGAGCTCTGGCTGTGCAGGGGCCAGTGCCAGTCTTGTCTTCAGTGGGGACACTGGGACTCCGGTGTTTGTAGTCTGCTTCTCTGTCGGCATTTTCCCCTTCAGTTTTGAATGACTCAGCTAAAGATTTAGATTCTAGGAAGAGAGTGGGCTCATTGAGCTCATGCTGCTGTGCCTTAGCTCGGAAAACATAGTCCCTGCAGGATGGTGTCCAATGGGAGGAAAGCTGTTCCCAAAGAAAACGGTGTTTTTCCGGAGGAAGGGGACACAATAATAAATGTAGTGATTTGCTGTGCACTTCCCTGCAGTGCAGCCACGTCTGGGTTTCAGAGGTTGGTGAGAGAGGCATTATCACTTCTATGTTACAGATAGGGAAACTGAGTTTACAGTCTGAGGCAAAGCGAGGATGTAAAGTCAAGCTGATGGTCCTCCCACAACCACATCAAAGTTTAAACTATAGAACAACCATCATTCAAAACCGCCTGAAATCAAGCTGAATGGAAGTCCTACCACTACGAAATTAAAGCAGCAGCTGCATTGAGACTGGTAGGAGGGGCGGAGGCACGAGTGCCAGTCCCACACCCACGTGTGACGGATAAAAATCAGGAGGACACCTCGGCTGGGAAGGTCCTCCCTGAGGAATGAGGGGTCCCTGTCCCACACCAGGTGCCCGGCTCAGGGTTCCAGTGCCAGGAAGAGAATCCCCATCACCTCTGGCTGGAAAAACCAGCGGGAACTGAGGCTCAGGGAGGCTGAAGCGGCTGGAGCCCCAGGCAGCTCCTTAAAGGGCCCGTGCACGGACTTATCGGACTCTCTCCCTCTAAGCTTGGAGGGGAGGCAGCTCCAGGGGCACTAGAGACGTACAGGGAAGAACTGAGCTGTTTGGCAGTGGTGCAAGGGTTGGAGAGGGGGCTTTTTCCCGGACAAACTTGCTGTCAGAGGCCTTTGTTCCTTTGGTGAGACCTTCCCTGGGGTGGCAGACAGAAGCCATATCTGGGACTCCAGCAACCTGGCTCACACTGGTAGCCCCGCCCTGGTGACTCCCTGAGGCCCCGCCCCGCCCAACTTTCAGGCCCACCCAAGCTGTTGCCGGTTGCTTTACCACAGGATTGGCCTGTCTTGGATCCTGCTTCAGGTTTTCCTAAATTCTTTCAAACAAGCAGCATCTGGTCTCATACCTCTCGTTAAGTAATACACAGAAACAAACACAGAGAGGCAGCCAAAATGAGGAGACAAAGAAACAGGTCCCAAATGAAAGAACAGAACAAAACCCCAGGAAAAGAACTAAGCAAAATGGAGATAAGCAACCTAACAGATGCTGAGTTCAAAATACTGCTTATAAGGATTCTCAGTGAACTTAGTGAGAACCTCAGTGAACTTAGTGAGGGCCTCAAGAGCATTAAAAAGGACCAGTCAGAAATGAAGGATGCACAGTCAGAAATGAAGGAGGCACTAACTGAAATAAAGAATAATTTACACAGACTCAGTAGTAAAATAGGTAAAGCCAAGAAGCAAACCATTGATTTGGAATATAAGGAAGCAAAAACCTAATCAGAACAGCAAAAAGAAAAAAGAATCCAAAAAATGAGGCTAGTGTAAGGAGCCTCTGGGACAACTTCAAGCGTGCCAACATTCACATCTTGAGGGTGCCAGAGGGAGAAGAGAGAACAAGAAATCGAAAACCTATTTGAAACAATAATGGCAGAAAACTTCCCTAACTTGGTGAAGAAAACAGACATACTAGTCCAGGAAGCACAGAAAGTTCCAAACAAGATGAACCCCAAGAGGCCCACACCAAGACACATCATCATCAAAATGTAAAAGATTCAAGACAAAGAGAGAATCTTAAAAGCAGCAAAAAAAAAAAAAAAAAAAAAAGCAGTTAGTTACCTACAAGGGAGTTCTCATAATTCTGTCAGCTGATTTCTCAAAAGAAATTTTTCAGGGCAGAAGGGAGTGGCAAGAAATAATCAGAGTGATGAAAAGCAAGAACCTACAACCAAGGTTACTCTATCCTGCAAAGCTGTCACTTAGAATCGATGGCCATATAAAGAGTTTCTCCACCAAGAAAAAGTTAAAGGAGTTCATCACCACCAAACCGTTATTATATGAAATGATGAAGGGTCTTTTGGAAGAAAAAGATAAAATATATGAACAAACAAAATGGCAATGAATACATATCTATCGACAATGGAATCTACAAACAAAATGAACAGGCAGAACAGAAACATTTTCATAGATACAGAGAACATTTGAAAAGGCTGAGCTGATTGCGGTTTGTCCCCGGCCCTGGTCGGGTTGTGCGGGAGGCAACCAGTCGATGTGTCTCTCATATTGATGTTTCTTTCCCTCTCTCTCCCTACCTTCCTCCCACCCTCCCACTCTATCTGATGGTGGATGTAAAAATATCCTCAGGTGAGGATTAAAAAAAGAAAGAGAAAATGCTGAGCTGATTTTAAAGTTCTGTTACTTTCTCAGTTGGAGTAAGTCATGTAAAAAGCAGCATGTACCTTTTGGATGAGGGTTTTTTTGTTCAGGTCCAGTGGCAGTGTATGGAAGTCCATCCCCCACCGTTCTTAGAGTACAGTGAAGCAGTGAAGGCCCTGGCACAGTGATTGAGCATTGTCCCTTGCACCAAAACATCGCTCTTTCAATTCCAGGGCACAAGCCCGGGTCGCAGGCTCAGTTCTCCATAGGGGGTGTGCAGGAGACGGCCAATTGATGTTTCTCTCTCTCCCTTCCTCTCTAAAAAAAAAAAAAATCTTTAAAAAAAAGCCCTGGCCAGTTTGGCTCAGCAGTTAGAGTATCGGCCCACGGACCAAAGAGTCCCAGGTTCGATTCCAGCCAAGGGCACATACCTCAGTTGCAGTTTGTCTTCAACCT